GAATCTTGCCGAGTAAACTTAGGACTAACCCTTAGGTCTTTGTCACTCTTAACCCCTAGCTCAGTATATATTTCAAGTAGATAATAAAATAAAATAAAAGCATACATTAAACAAAAGGTTCCTGTAGAGTACTACAGAAGTTTAGGATGCTAGTACCTTCCCTAAGCTTAACCAACCCCTTACCTAGGTCTCTCCCCGCATTGCGTTTGCGATGCAAAAATTAGGTTTTCCTTCTTTTGACCTTTTCCTTTGGATAAATCAAAGACCGGTTGTGAACTAAATATGTGATTCAAATTAATTAATAATTTGATATCCTATTCTCACTGCAACAGCTGTCATACAAACTTGATCTTTCCTTATGTATTATTTCCAAACTCAAATCCCGACGAACTATTGGCCAACCATTTTCACCATATCCATGTGATAAAGCAATGACTCTAAATCCACAATTACCATCTGATACAACATTAACTACATCTTCAATATATGACCTAATATGATTAGGAAATTGAGAGATGAATTGCTTAGATGACTGTGACTGCTTATGTGATGTTTGAGATTGCCTCTCGGAAGATTGGAATGATTTTAACTTCTTCGAAGCCTGTGATGGTTGAGATTGCCTCTGTGAAGCTTGAGATGCTTTATCAACATACTCATGATACGAAGGGTCCCTATAAACATCATACCCTATTGGTTTTTTTTGCATTTCTTCTTGACTCCCCTTTTGATTTTTATTTTCTCAGATGGTGGACACAAAGAAGTCATTGTGGGGTAGGCAAGTTCAAAAACTCTACTTTTTAATGTTATTTTCCCAACAACGTCTAGTAACCTAAACCTTTTTCATAATTCATCTATTGCACTACTCATATCCACCTCTGATCCATCGCCTGCATCTAACTCCAACTCAACTTCCATAGTTAGTTTCTTCTAATGAACATGCACAATATTTATTGATATCGGTATACCACCAAGTTTGTATCTTGCTAACTCACAAGCACAAGGTAACCAATATGATGTTTTAAGACTACAACCACATATTTCACTGTTAGTTTCAACATAATTAACTCTCAAGAACTCTTCAGCAATGCGTCTCAAAGTAGCTCGAGACATTGAACCACGTAAGTTACTGTAGAATGGACTTACGTGCGTGTGCTCAACTTCATAAAAACTTTTTTTTGAAAAGAAGCTCTAATGTTGTCCACTTGTAACTTTAAGTTGTTACTCATAGCCTCCCAACATTTGACCATGTCACCTATATTGTTCCCCAACATCTGTTTTAACTTTCAATGAGCAGACTCAACCCTAAAAATAATACATAGTAAAAATACTTTAAAAAATACAAATTAAAAATATACAATTTAAAAATACTAAAAATAAATACATAGTAAAAAATATTAATAAAAAGATACATACCGATTAGTCGTGGTGTTACCCAAATGTAGCACTCGATTAATCCATTCTCCCACAAATCTTTGTCTGTGTGGTGTCAACCATGTGTCTTTAACATAATCAAGATATTTATTACAATCAACACACGCCTCCTCAAGTTGTTGCAGTCGTTGATCATACTCAACCTCGTCACTAGCCCATACAACTTGTATCCGTAAGTCCTCGATCGTCTTTTGCATGTCACTAACCACATATTGCTTGCATTTTGCACCAACGTTTTTGTTAATGTATAATCGACCTAACAAATTGATTGACCTTGGAAACACAGTTTCAATTGCTTTCATCAAAGCAAGATCTCTATCTGTCACAATCACTTGTGGACACAAATATTTCTTCACGAACAATTCTTTAAGCTTATCTAACACTCAACAAAAAGTCTCAGTCTGCTCAGACTCCATATACGCAAATGCGACAGCAAAAGTCAACTCGGTTGATGTCATGCCGACAATTTTAAATAGAGGTTGTCTATATTTGCTTTTCTTATAGGTGTTGTCCATAACTAACACAATGGAAAAAAATATTCAACAACTTAACTGAATCTGGATGGAGGCAAAATATATCTCTAATAGCTTCAAAGTCATCTCTTTTTCTACTCCAATAAACATAACATGCATCCTCAATAAGCTTAAACAAATGTATCTCACTTCTACGACCTCTTATCTATTTTTCTATCATACTCTTATGCTTATATATTTGCATGATCCGAGTGATATTCTCTGAATCTCGCTCTTTCAAGAAAAGTAATATGTGTCTAGGTGGAACATGTTTCTTTGTCAAATCAACATGTTATTTCTGATACATGGTCAACCTACAAACAAATGAGTGACCTTCTAATCTATCAAGTAAACCATGGTTATGAACTCCACATTTTACATCAACATTTCATTCATACCCATCTTTCGTCGGAGTCGACCTGATTTTAAATGAACATCCACATTTTTTCGTTGCACTTTGGGTTCCACTATCAGTGTCTAATCTGACCTGATCAGAAGGGGATCAATAGCTGGTGATGAGTTCTTCGAACTTTCTTTTTACCGATCCTACGGATAGGTTCCTCGGGGATCCACCGGATATGACCATGGCCCTCGGAAAATATTCCCATCGACTGGTGGGGCGCACCGGCTCGTCGGGAAGATCAGGTCCGTCGGGGAGGCCGAATTCTCTGTGCGCGAACCAATCCTCGGGGCGGCTGACGCAGAGGGCGACCTGGAGGCCGTTGTCCCCGTCTGACGAGGGGAGGTCCTCGACTCTCTTGGCTTCGGAGGCGTCTTGCCTCGGGGTTTCTCCTCCTCGGGTGTATCTCTTCAAGTGGTCGTCTTTGATCAGGATCTCGATCGCGTCCTTGAGGTGGACTTGTGTTTTTCACCTTTATCACAATCAAATATTAATTTGTTACTTCTTCCTCTCTTGCTTGTTTCAGTATCTGAACGAGTCATAATAACTGTTACTTTATTTTGGATTCTAACCCCTTTAATCAACCTTATCACCTCTTCTTGTGTACCAAATCTTTGAGTAGTTGAAAAAAAATCAGAAGTATCTACACATATTTTTGGAGGAATTTTCATATCTGTAGTATAAAAAAATTATTAAAAATTTTTTTAAAAAAGAAAACCGAATCACTTTATGAAAGAGTTCCGGTATAATTTTAAATATATCAGATTTCTTCATAAATGTGTTTTGGTATAGGTAAGAAAGAAACCGAACGACTTACAAAAAGTGTTCCGGTATAGTTTTGTAACAAATAGGAACTCTTTTGGTTAGTCTTCCGGTATATGTTTTGTGATAAATCGAAACTCTTTGTTCAAGTCTTTCGAAAGAGAAAATTAACATACCGGAAGTCTTGATTGAAGTTTTTCGATGCAGTTTGATGTTGTCCAATTTTTTAGAAGTCAGGCATGAATAATAAAAAGTAAAAAAATAAAATAATAAAAAATAAATAAGGATAAAATTGTCATTTTTAAAAAAATATTGGAGTATTGGTATAACTATAGGAGTATGAATAAAAAATTTTCTAGAAGAATTTAATTTGCTACCCTTAATATTGTATCAGACATTTTTCATATTTTCAAATTTTCAAAAATATCGTTATATTATTTATCGATTAAATTTTATTTTATTTTTAAAATTTTCATTTTTACTAATATACTAAAACGAAATTTTTGGTAGTACAGTCGAAATTTTTAATAAATATTTTTTAACATGTTTGAAAATTGTGGCATTTATACCTGAAATTTGAAATTTTCTAATAAAAAATATTGGAAATTTCAAAATTTTAAAGTAAAGAATACTGAAAATTTCAAAATTTCTGATAAAAAATACTAAAATTTTTGAAATTTCTGCTAAAAAAAGTACAGGAAATTTCAAAATTTCTAATTCAAAATACCGGAATTTTTAAAATTTTTGATAAAATACTATAACTTTTAAAATTTTCGGTAATTTTGCATTAAAAAATTATAAATTTTTGAAAATTGTGGCATTTATACCTGAAATTTGAAATTTTCTAATAAAAAATATTGGAAATTTCAAAATTTCTGATAAAAAATACTAAAATTTTTAAAATTTCTGATAAAAAAGTACAGGAAATTTCAAAATTTCTAGTTCAAAATATCGGAATTTTTAAAATTTTTGATAAAATACTATAACTTTTAAAATTTTCGGTAATTTTGCATTAAAAAATTATAAATTTTTGATATAGACTCAAAATTTCCGATGAAATACTCTAAATTTTCAAATTTTCAAATTTTTTTCATGAATATACAAGTATATTTGCTTAAAATGGAGGATGTTAGATTCAAGTGAAGGGTGTCGAGTCAAATACTCCCAGACTAGTTGTCCATAATTAAATTTTTAAAGTTTATTTATGTAGTGTTTATTAAAAATTTAATTATGGATCAGTTTAATATCATATTTTAAATTTCTACTTTATGTGTTAAAAAAATCAGCTTGGAAGTTCCTTCAGTTTTTCATAAAATTATAATATATTTTGCCCCGACAATGTAAAAAAATTTTACACAGTCAATTAATCATACATGTTAGATCTTGAAAAAAATTTGACTTTTATTTTAATCATTTATAAAATAATACTAACACATGATAGTGATAAATTAACCATATAAAATTACTTTTTTATACTAATAGTGCAAAATAATTAATATCTATTTTTTTATGGACTTCGAGCTTTCTCTAATAAAAAAATTCAAACTTATAATTTAAGTTTAGTTTAACTGCAAAGAGTAAGTAGAATGACTAATGATGAACAAATAGTTATTTATTTCATCTTTCAAGAAAGCCACCAAATATAAGAATAAAACAAAAATATAACTTGAGCATGCCAGAACATGAAGATCTAACTTCAACACCAAAAGTACATTATAAATTTCAGAATACCAACTTAATAATGCAGTAATATTATATCTAACAATGAAATAAGCAAAACTAGATAACATTATTTCCCTATAAAATTTTCTATGCTTTCTACTCAAATGAACTGAAATAAAATAACAAATAGATTCAACATTTTCAAGGGTCCTCCTCATGATAGAGCTTAGTCCTCAATCCAACTTCACAGAAGAGAATAGATAATACACAAACCAGAATGAAGAGAGGAATCCAACTGTGCCGGTCACCAACATGATTGCTAGAACCATGAAGAGAGAATATCCGAGATAAAGCATTGCGGAAACAGGTCCACTCAGGTTCTTGAGATCAAATACGAGATAGTTTATGGAATACAAAAAGATGTACAATGCAACGGAACCGGAGGCGAAGAATGATTTCCACCACCATCTCCAATCCTCCACGCAGAGGTGCATATATGTTAGAACAAGAGATACCTCGGCACAAACCACCACGAGTAGGATCAAAACAATGAAGAGAAACCCGAAAACGTAGTACACACGGCCCATCCAAATGCTGGACATTATAAAGAAGAGCTCAATGAAGAGGGTTCCAAAGGGAAGGGTGCCAGCGCCTAGAACTAAAAGCCATGAAGGATACCGTTGTTGAGGAATTTCTCTAGGGATTTGGTTGGTTCTAACGGGATATTCAAGGTGGGGTGCTTTTGCTCCGAAGTAACCACCGACAAGTGTAAGTGGAACAGAAATGCAGAACCAAAGCAAAAGCAATATAACAAAGAGTGAAAATGGAATGGCTCCGGTGCTGTGGCTTCCCCATAATAGGAAGTTTAAGAATGTGAGGATCAAAAAGGCAATACCAGGGAAGAAACAAGCAGCTTTCCATGCAACTGAAATCCAACCCTTCTGGTCGCCGCTTCCGAGTGTTCTCCATAGTCGAACTGCAACATAACCAGCAGCAATACCAAGTATCATGTAGAAAAACAGCATACCTGTGATAAGTGTTCCGCGGGAGGCCGGTGACATGAATCCAAGTGCAGCAAACAATATTGTCACAATAGCCATCCCTAGAATCTGAACTCCATCACCAACCATTATACACAACAAAGCAGGATTCGATGGAGCGCGGAAAACATCCCCCACAACAAGCTTCCAACCAGATAACTCCTCATTCATCTGTGCTTGAGCTTCCTTATCAAGCTCCTCATAACTAGCCAGATCCCTCCGAACAGTTCTCAAGAAGATAACAAGAACAATACCAGCAAGAAAAGTGATCACCATTAACGAATTGAGGATCGAAAACCAATGGACTTTGGCTCCCTCCATCTTCAAATAAGCATCCCATCTAGACGGCCACTTGATATCACTCTCCTCAAAAGTTACCTCATAGGTAAACGCAACCGGCTGGCCTTCTTTAATCGGCATTGCCACAGTAGACGGATCGCATTTGATAGGTGCCGGATATTTTTCATGCATCTTCAAGTTTTTAGCAGAATTAGCATTATGCAAAATGCTACAAGGTACAACTTCAAACCCAACAACCATATAACCCGGCTTATCAGACCCCTCCTTACCAATAGGAGGAATCATCTCCGCGGCATCACCAGTTCCCATAACGCGAGCCACATTTGTCTCCTCATACTTATGAACAAGAACATTAAACCTAAGATGGTTAAACAGATAATACACATCCTGAATCTTAATCCCAACAGGGTACCCAGTCCATCTCAAAAAGTACTCATCTTTCTTCGTAAACCGAATAGCCGGCAAATTATCAAGTATAAGATTAACCTGATACATCTCATCAATCCTCTCTTTCAAGATCTTGAACTGATCTCCAGACAACTTATCAACTTGACACAGAAAAACCTCAGACTCATTGGTATACATCTTAAACCTATACGGAGAATTCTCGATCCGATCCCCCATAAGGAGTTCACCGAGATTCTCAGCACTGTCCTTAACACCACCTTGAGGCTTACAAAAGGGTAAACTATAATAACTAAATGGAATCTCAGTACCAATTGAAGTAAGAGAATTCACCTTGACCGACAACTCATCACCAACAGCATAATTGTGAGGGTAACTACCCGGGAGATAGAACCCAAACCCTGATTGAAACACTAAACAGAAAACCAAGACCCACAACTTGAATCTGTGAAAAGACTCCATTTTTGAACAACTTGAGTCAGATCTGAAAGACCCAGATAAGAAAAACGTCAACAAAACAATGGAAGGTTAAAATTGAAGGATAATCGGTATGCAATGCGAAAGCGTTGATGTGTAAGAAGAAGTGAGAATTTGAGTTACCTTGTCAGATCTGAGTAGAAAATTTGAGATTTAGAGCATAAGACAGAGAATCTTGGAGGAGCGATGTCGTGCAGGCACCGACGTTGAAGCGTGGAACTCAGTGCACATTTATATGCTTGCTACACTTTCTCGTTTCATTTTTATCATGAGATTCATAAGTGTGTTGTTTTCTCAAATGGGTAAATGACCATGGTACCCTTCAATTTATTTGCTTTTTGTCTTACTCGCTAGGGTATAAGAATAGTCTAAGTCGGAAGTACTCCCTTCAATCTCAAATGTAAATGACAATTTTTTTTTCAATAATCTTAAATATAAATAATACAAAAGTTATATCTCTGTTTATACACAATACTTATTTTTTATCATTTATATCTTTATTTTATTATATAATTTATTTAATATTTTTTTATTATTAAATTTTATATAATTTATTATATTTAACTTTTATATAATTTTTTATTATTAACTTTCACATTAACAAAAAAAATATCGTTTATATTTTTATATATATTAAAAAAGTAGATAGACAAATAGACGAGTGTCCTCTGAACGCTAATATTTATTATATTTAATATTATATTCTAAATTTCTACTTTTTTTATATTTTTAACTATTTTCAAAACAAAAAAATGTGCATAAAATTAGAAAAAGTGAAAAAATTGAATGCATTTAGATTTTTTTAAAGAATATTTTTTTTATAAATTATTTATATACGAGACCGGAAAAACTATTTTTAGGGTGAATCTAAATTTTTTACAAATTTAGCCATCTACTAACCAACTTAAAAACTTTACATAAATAAGTAATTTAATTAATATTAAAATTGTTTAAATAAGTTAATAAATTGAAAATTTAATGAGATTAAATATTAATTTGTATTAACTTAGCATTAATTTTGTAACAATTTAAGAAAATTTATGCAAACAATTTAAGATATTTTTCATAATTTTTTTTTTATTTTCATAAATTCTTCAAAATAAATAAATTGTATTCTTGTATTTTAATTTTAAATATAATAATAATAATAATAATAATAATAATAATAATAATAATAATAATAATAATAATAATAATAATAATAATAATAATAATAATGTAAAATTATAGATTGATATGCAAATTTAAAAGACTTTTTATGGTTTGTGATCTAATCTTTTTAATTAAATAAATTTATAAAAAATTTAAATTTTTTCTATTGGAAAAAAGTCTGACATAACTTCAGTCATTGTGTAAGTTAGATCATAGACCCTTTATTAATTGATTTAACATATTCTTATATCTAATTATTGCAAAACAAATATATATCCACATTTTTTTAATAAATAGACCAATATTATTTGTTATAAATATTCTTATAAAAGATTATATAAGTGGTAAGCAACATTTAAATTATAATTATTATCTTTATATTTTAATATTTTTTTAAATATTTTTTAGTAGAAAAAGACGGCCAAAGGCCTAAAACAAAGACACACTAGGCAGCAAGCCTCACAGAAGAACCAAAACAGTCAATGACAAATAACTGACTTAACTCTAACGGACAATCTTCAAACAAAGTGCAGTCATTTAAGCTTGACAATCCAAGCTTGGTCAGATAATCAACACGTTTATTAGACTCTCTATAAATGTGCTTAAAACGCACAACCTCAAACTTCATAGTGAGAAGAAGAATACGTCTAACCAAAGTCGAACCTTGCCTATGCACCAGCTCCGACCCAGCAAGAGCTTCAGCAACAAACTTGTTATCAACTTGAACAATAAGCCTCTTGAAACCTTTCATCTAAGCATAATCCAAACCAGTAAGCACTCCCAAAAACTCAACAGTAAGGTTATTGCAATTGCTTATGGTCTTGTGGAAACCACCTAGCCGCCGCCCTTGATTATCTCTAAAAGGACCCCCATAGTTAGCAAGCAACCTGCCATTGGTGGCCCCATCAGAATTTAAACAAATTCAATCTATAGGAAGAGAACTCTACTACATAATAAACAGAGTGTTATGCAAGGGTTACACTTTAATTTGAAAGTTCTTGCTGAAACGATACAGAGAAGCACCCTACGAATCTAATTCTCCAAGTTTTGAGGCATAACAAAATGAGGGTCATGGAATTTATTATTCCTCCACCCCCAAATATAATGGCACCCGAAAGCCCACAAAATATCCTAATCAAATTCAGAGTGATGTAATTGCTAAGACAATATTTACTTATTTATTTATTCATGTAGTGTAATAATTATGCTATACTTAATCTACATTGTTTTTATAATTGCAAATATTTAATAATTTTAAAGAAAATTATATAATTTTTAATAAAATAAAAATATATTTTATAATAAACTCCATTTTGGCCCGCATAACCCTCCCTATTTTGGCAATTGCTTTCTCATCCTATGTGGTTGTAAGTCACCTTTATAAAACTTACAAATGTATTCGCTCGTTCAGAGAGGTACTCCCAGTCTCCCAAAAATTAATCTAGATATTAATCTATGGATAAATTCAAGGATGAGTCTGGAGATCAATCTTTAAATCCTTACTTAGTACAATAAGTTATTATGCATAAGTTTCTTAAAAATTTGACGCTAATAAACATTGTATACAAATTATGAGTATTAAGTCAAAATTGTCATTTTTTAATAAGCATTCAATTAAAATATCATATATCATTTGTTATCAAATAAGTAAACATCATTGTTTACAAAATAACCAAACAACCAAACCTCATTGTTCACAAATTACAAACCATAATACAACTTATCAAAATGCTATGATCAAAATACAAAGAAAAAGTTAATTGTTGGGTATATATTTCTCCCCATGTTCCTCCTTTGTCTCTTATACTGCAAGGCATGTCGTGACCAACTATCATGGCTTGTATAGTGGTCATATTAGGAATGTCTTCCCAAAACTCTCCTCTCTCTATGCTCGTCTTCTCAATGGTCACAATACACTAACATATCAGTAATATATCAATGACATGGTCTACCTTAGCTTGTTCCTATTCTAATATCTCTTGATGAGCTGACATGTATGGTTTTTCCTCTACATCTAGTGTCATATAAGGATGTGATATTATATAAAACTATTGGATATAACTGTATACCGCACTTCATAGCTGAGGGGCTGGCACACGACGTATGTAACACCCCAAAATAATTAGATTATTTATTTAATTGATTATGATGAGTTTTTATGAATATTCCTTGTGAATATATGGTGTTTTGGGAATATGATGTGTTTTATATGTTGTGTTATGGGGTAGAATGAATTAAGATGAATATGAGGACTATTTATATTTTAGATAATTAGTTTTAATTATTTAGAATTGTTTTAATATTAAAATAAAGACAATATATGGTGTAGAGAGGACAAAGGGGGTAATATTCATGAGGATTAGTGAGGGCAAGTTGGAAAACACATATTAGGGGTCTAACGCTTAAACAAGGAAAAGAGGAAAAAAGTGTTTCATTCTGTACGATCGTGTTTTGAGATCAACAAAGAAAGGAGAAAGGCTAGGGCGAACTCAAAAAGAAAGAATCAATTGCTAGGAAAATCTAAGGTATGAGGAGTATTATCATTGTAATTGATATAGGTTTTAGATGTATGTAGGTTCTTTGGGGTTTCGTGGTGAATTTAATAACATGATGAATTTATGATGAAATTGGTGAAGTATTGATGTAATAATGTTATGAATTGGTATAGGAAATAAGTGATGGTATATGTGGTTGTTGTATGATGAAAACATATTGAATTATGTTTATTTTGGGTTGAGTTCGTATTGGAATTGGAAGGAATTTGGGATCTGAACTGATGCAGAATCGCAACTGAGAAGTTGTTGTTACGACAGTTTCGTCAGGCGAGCATCTTACATTGTCGAGCGAAGCAACTTCGCCCCAGCAGCGCCGGGAGATAGTAGAGGCGAAAGGAGGGTGGAAAAGAGGTGCTCCTGGAAAATGTATGGGAGGGGAGTTTTCGCCCTTGATTCGCCGGGAGAACCTCAGGCGAGCAGACTGGGACAAATTCATTTCTAAATTTTTGAAAATTCATAACTCGAGCTATGAGTGTCCGATTGATACGTAGTTCGGATCTTTGGAAAGTTGGTTTAACGTACCTTTTCTTTAAAATATTTCCAGTACCATAAGTTCAACTATTTGACGCGTGGACGGTTGTTTCGTACTATCGAGTTATGTCGTTTTGTGAAATGTACGAAAAGGCTTTGTGTAATTAATAATTGGTGTTGTTTTATGTATAATGATAGTAACGATGTTGTTGTGGAATTAATTATGATGACTTTGATGTTGAGGTGATGTGATAAATGTTACTTGTAGTGACGTTTGATGACATGTATGATAACCTTATGTATAAATGTTATGTGATGATGATTATTTGATGAAGATTATGTGATGTGTTGAATGAAATTGAGATTTAAGCATGTTTGATGTACATAGATGCTATGTGAAGGATGTTATTATGATGATTACATGAATTATGATGCAATTGACTAGCCGTGGTCGAATTATTATTGGGTTGTACATCATACATTTGTGGCATGTGTTAGGACGTTTTTCCAGTGACGATGTTAGGACTTCGGTACAGTGGTGGCCTCAATCCGATTGTGTGGATTGAGTATGTTTTATGATGTGCTCCGGTTCCAAGTGGGAATCAATCCTATGATAGGGATCTTTGGAGGGAGATGACCATGTGTTCATCAAAGTATTGGTACCACATGCATGAGTTAGTGTCGATACATTACATGTTAAGTGACATTGCATAATTATGATTTGAATGATATTTGATGATGTTGTGACATAAGTGATGTTTTGGTGATGATGATCATTGATGATATAGGGACGTTGTGAATGATTTA